AGTTTGAAAGCTGATTGTGCAGGTGCATGTGGGGTCTACAGGTCTCATTCTGGTAAACTATTATGCTTTTTTTCTTCACCTTATATGGTTGTTTGTGCATTATCCGCAGAGTTATATGTTGTTTGGTTGGTCTTATCTATTACAGCTAAAATGAATTGGAAATTCTTGCAAATTGAGATGGATTCAACTATTTTGTTTGACACATTGGCAAATGATAAAGAACCTCCTTGATATTTAAGTGTTGATTTATGCAGTTTATGATATTTAAGTGTTGATTTATGCAGGATTAAGCAACTTTCAACAAACATTATCATAACATGGAGCTACACACCCAAGGAAACTAACAGGCAAAAAGATTTTCTTGCCAAAGCTGCTACACATTCTAAGTCTATAATCCCGATGACCAAGCTTGATTATGATCTTAAGCTACTCCTAATGGGGGACAATCTCAATATGTCATACCTTAGACCTTTCTCGATGGGATGTCTATTTTTCTCTGCTTGTTTCTTCGTTTGGATTTAGCTAGTTCTTTTATTTTGGAGTCTTCTTGGGGTATACTTGTATCTGTTTTGGAGATTTTTTTCGGGTGAGTTTGTACACCTGGTATTTGGAACCCTAGGAGTGAGTACTGTATTTTTTTATTTGTAGTAGGATCCAATCTCTTAAAAATAGGCAACTTTATTTTTTAGCAATAAAATTATATATATGATTTTATTGAAATAGAAAAGATACATAAAGATTGTATGAGAGGACCCAGTAGAGGCACCTTACCCATACTATACCAAGTATATTACTACCCCAACAAAAGATACATATAGACCTAAAAAATTTAAAACATGCAGAAAACAAGTAGCTAAAGACAAGTCAGTTTAGACATGTCTCTTCCTATTGTTTTAGGAGCGGAGCAAGATAACAAATTTTGAAGTATCATGTCATTGTCAGAAGTAACCAAAGTATCATCCATTAAGTTTCCAAGTTGAAGTGTGCCCCCAACCTTCTTCTTCCGCCAAGAAGTGTAAACCTGTCATTTTTCATCTGAAGACTGTCTCATGTGATTCTCGGTCTGCTTCGATATTAGAACTGCAGTAGAAAGAAAGGCAGCTGTTGCCACATCAATAGGTTCCAGTGCCTGTGAAGTGTGAATTGTCACTTCTACATCTAATATTTTTTGAATAGGAGCTGCGGGGCTATCCTGACTTTCGGTTTGAATATTATCCCTTATAGTATGGTCAGGAAAAGGGTTCCCAGGGACAGACACAATTTCCTATCTTGTGATGATTCGCCCCTCAGGTTGGCTGTCATCAGTTTTGTTAAGAGCGTGTTCAGGCACGTGAGGTGCACTAACATCATGTTTCTACTTTTCCCTACTGGTTCTCAACTGTATGTGCAATCTGAAACATTTCTCTTACGATGTCCAAACATCTTACAGTGCTTGCAGTAGTAAGGTTTTTGTTCCATAATATTTTTTTGTTAATAACCATTGTGAGCAGAGTTAAGTCAGACTTCTTCTACATCTGGTAATATAATATATTTTTCAATCAAAATCCTTGCAATAGAGGGCCTAGAGAAATGAACTGTACGTGTGCCTACCTGCAAAGGTTTTCCAAGGATAGTCTTAATTGCATATAACGTAGATAGGTCAAAAAATTGAAACTCGAGTTCAGGTAATGAGAACCAGATAGACGAAATTGGGGGTTCTTGCTGGGATCAAAATCAGGGATCCATTTGAGCAATTTCATATAATTGTCCTCAATTATGATAAATTTCTTTGAAAAAATCTTTGTGTAATCTTCTTTTATGCTCAGTTGTATCATAACATGTCTTCCGTCGAAAAGACTCACCTGTCAAACCCCAACTAAATTGAAACCTTCAAAAACCTTCCTAATAATCTCCATCTTAAAGGCGACCTAATTGGAACTTTCCAACTAGTAAAAATTTGTATTTTCCTGCATTAGTTGAAATTTCAATGTCCGGGAAGAATAGTGTTGGTTTGCCTTCTTCTATAATTTGTTTGAAGAGATTGCAATTTCCATGTCCTGCAACAGAATCATAGCACATCTGCGGGAACATTGGACTATTTATAAGATGGAAAGGGGAGCTGCGTTTATGAACCACTGTAACATCGGAGGGTTTGGCGGGATTATCACCAGCGAAGGCAGCGACGTAGGATAGCCTTGAGGCTATCAGCGTGCTTCACACAAGCACAGCGGGCGCAGGAGTACTGCCAATTTGAACAGAGGGGAGCTAAAGAGGTCGAGGCGAAACCACAGTTGCAGCTCGACGAGGTTGACGCGGTGACGAGCCGCGGAGGAGTCGCAGCTCAACGAGGTCGACGCAAAAAGATGAGCCGCGGAACTTGCAGCTCGACGAGATCCACGCAGAAGCTGGCACGAGGGAGAGACAAAGAAGCCGCAGAATCCCTTCATCATTGGAGTCGACGATCATGGAAAACGAACGCAGAATTCGTCGTCGAGTATGAGAACTTTCGAAAAGCCAAAGGATCAAACCAGGGAATCGACATCGAGCGAAACTTAAGAGGAGCAGCCCGCCATCGACGCCATTTAGGGTATAATATATAGACTAAAATACTAATGATATCAAACACTTTTGGAGTTATCACATTACAAATTACTCATCAAACTGCAATGCCTACACGATGCAGAAACATTTAAAAGGATCTGATGCAGGATCGTATTTTGAGGCAAACGAGGCGGAGTTTTGGCTTCCGCAAAACTATAGCTTGAATTTTCCAAACAATTGTAGCCACCGACCCTTGTGGCCCCTATTTTTTAACTTAAAAGTATGATTAATTTATGTCTTAATACAAGTAATTAGCTTAGAACCTGGTTTGGAGACTTTTATTTTGATTTATGATATTAGAGGATTTTGTTCCTCTAATTTCTTCTATTTGAAGAGTTATAGCATTTTTTTCTTCAAGTGTTGAATGTGCATCTTGAAGAGAACAGGTGATAGATCCTCCCTTGGCAATCGCACCTCACCGAAATCATTGTTTAGTCATCCTCTCGCTATTTTCAGCCAGGACAACAGCGGAACCCCCTTTAATCCCCTTCCAATCCCCATCGACTTCGCATATCCATTTCTCTTTTGCTATTCCACCTCTTTTTACAAAAGTCTATCATGAAAAACCTTTTAAGAATCACAGAATTGTGCCACTTTGTCTGAGAGCCAAATTCTAATCTCAATTCCAAGTCTTAATCATAAACTTTTAAAATCTAACATTTATCTCCACTAAAAATCAATCCCCACACCTACCACATAACTTAATCCCTTGTCCAACTTTAGCGAATTCTAAAATGAGGAACAAATTACTATGTCGCCAACGAGAAGCCCTCAACAAGGTGCTCATAAACATACCATAGAGAATATGTAGCAAAAAATCCTCCAATTACAGTGAAGACAAGTTGATTGTGAAATAAGAAAACATAAGAAAATCACCAAGAGAAGCAAAGGTGACCGCTAGAATGGAGGAGATGACGAAAAACCCATTTTCACTAAGAAGCCTCAGTGACAAAGAAGCAATAATACATCAGTTCAGCATTAAATAAAAGAGTAGAGATGATAATTTTAGAGTAAATTTTAGAGTAAATATTGTGAGATGTTGATAATCGTATGGATCTGATTTATTTAGCTACTCCATACAGTGGAACGAGTCTTTGAACACAAAGATAATACACCTAAATAAAGGATGAAGCTAGTTGTCATTAAGTTTGAGAAAAGTGCTCCTCTATTGAGAGAAAATTTGAAATGTTTGCTCCATCGTGGGGGCAAAAGCAAGATCAAGATCAACTCTAAGATGAAAAAAGAGATGTGGCACGATATCTATCAGCACGCTACAAAATAAGATATCTTTTTAAGACTTCATTATTTGCAGTAAACGATCTATCAATAAAGTGCACCGCTAAGTTTGAATAGATCATGTTATAATGTAAGTTGACGAAGACAAAGGAGAATATCATAGCCCGACATCTTTAAGATTGAGGTCATCCCTAGGCAATGTAATGCAACTGCAACCCTATTAAAGCTCACAAGATGAGCAAACCCTAGCTTTAAAAGTAGAGAAGAAGCACAGTAGCATCAGGTCCACTTTACTCTTCAAGTAAGGTTCGATTATTAGGTTGGGCGGAAAAAGCACACTGAATAGAGTACCAAGGCTTCTTCCCAAGCAGCGAAGTTAGCACAAGAGAAAAAGATGATTGATCGGACTAGCAATCTTAAAATATTTCCAGCAAAAAGTGTTTCACGTGTCATGAATATTAACACATTACATCCAACTGTTCAAACAGGAGAGTGATTTTTTTTGCTGAGCAGAATGCAGTGAAAGAATTAGAGCATGAAGTCTCAAAGGAGAAAGAGATTAGAGAGGAGTGCCCATCAATTACAAATGATGGTGAGATATTGTGATTCAATGAGTTCTTTAGACCGAGCCTAAAAATGATTAATAATGGTTAAAACATAACATCTTTCATACACGTAAGAAAAATGTGTACAGCATCATTATTGACGAAAGCAATTATAAGAATTGAGTATCTACACAGATGATGAACAAATTGATTCTCATAACAGAGAAGCATTCTTAACTTCCCTGACTTGGTTGAAGATGTAAAATGAGATCAGTGTTGCAAGTTGTGTCGGGTAGAATTTTCAATTAGACACAAGCAGTGGGATTAGTTGTGGTGTGATGTCATGCTTATGAATGTGAGCCGCATTTTTTAAAGTCGATCCTGACAGTATGAAAGAGGCACGCTTCATGATGATCACAAAAATAAAAACTCATTTATCAATGATGAAAAATGAGCTCGTGCAGTCGAGCCGAGCATGAGCTTTCCTTTTTGGTCGGGACAAGTTCAAGCTATGTATAAATTATACTAGTAGCTCGATTGAGCCAAAACTCAGCTCTACTCATCTAGCTAACACCCCAAATTACACTAGAACAAAAATTTTAAAAAAATAAATATAAAATAAAAAAAAAATAGAATTACCTTTTTTGCACTTTCCTGCCCAATAACGAATTTATCCAACCCCTCACATATCTCGCTGGGCGTTGGCAAGTCCTTCCCCATATTAGCACCGCCCCAATCCTCCTTTCCCGGAACAGTGCCAGCCTCGCTCTCCCCAGCCCCTGTAACTCTCACCGTGTTCACATTTGCAGGACATAGCGGGCCTGGCGGAAAGGCCGCCGGCAGTGACCAGTTCGATCTCATCTCACCCGATCTAAGCGACTCCCAGAATGAAACCCTAAGCCTACTCGTGGCCTCATCCTCCTCCTCCCCCACCGCAACGAATCCCCCCTTTTCCGGCCGGTCGATCTCCACAAAACTCCCCTGCAGTGGCACCAGTCTGTGAGGGCGAAAGTAGTACGCCATCTTGCACTTGGGGCAAAGGTTCACGGTCTTGTACCCGCCGGCAACCGGAGGCGGTGGAGCATCCTGCGGCGTCGGCGACTTCTTGAAGAAGAGGACCTCCAAATGCTTGGAACAACGGGGACAGTGCGCCTCCACCCGGATTCGGCGGGTGGGGTGCACATCGGAGCCTCCCTCCCACTTGTGCCGCTGCTGCAAGACAGAGGCGGCGAGTGCTGGGAATGGACCTTGTGCTCGGGTTCCCACTAGCCAGCGAAGGTAGTCGCTGGCTACCATCGCCGTGTACCGCAGCGTCCTCCATCGAAGGGCTCCCGACATGTTTTGCAAACTTAGGGAAGAGAATTTGACAGCATGCAGCTTGGGAGGCTGAAGTAGTGTGGTGCTGGTGGGGAAAATAATTTTTTCAAGCCGTTGAAGGAATCATTGTTCAAATAGTTGTATTTTGAAGTTAATTTGCTTACATAGGATTTATTTTTTAAAACATATTTTTTTAATTTTTTTAGTAATAAAAATAAATTAGCATACTTTTGAACCTTTAGCTTAATACTTGAAAAAAAATGAAGTGCATATTTACGTAATTGCATTAATTGTATATAATTATCACAAGTTGCCATAAATAAATGACGAAGCCCATAAGGTAACAAAGAGCATACGAGCAAGGCTTATGTTGTGTATAAATCTAACATGTATTTTCTTATATGGGATTACATCGTATATTTCTAATGTCATTAATATATAATAGAATATTCTTTGTTTTCACTGAAGAAAGGGGAAGATTTATTCAACTATAGGAGTGGAAAAAGGAAGCTATCTGCAAATGCTCCGTTATCTAAAATACACTCATTCAAAGAAGATTTAAAGAATAGAAATTAATTTGATTAATTCAACCACATCTTTTGAAACTTGTGTTCTTAGGGTAGAGTAAGAGGAAAATTATATATCTTTTGTTTATCAAACTTAAGTCATTATCCCTAATGTAATTCTCTTATAAAAAGAATAAATGAAAGTGATAAAAAATTATACTATTAATGAGGAAATCGAAACATTTTTCTTAAAAGAAGTAATTTTTTAAGAGATTACATAAATTTATATGATGTATTGTTAATCCCCCTAAAAAAATATATTGCTAATGAACTTTTCTTTCTATAGATTGGTTCCTTGAGCAATGAAATATTGTACTTGAATTGATAGACTATTGGCAAGGATGTTGATTAAAACAAGGAGTTATGAATTTTGTTAACAAATTTAGGGCCCGGTTGGGGCAGCTTATTTGGTGCAGTGGCGTTTTGAAAACGCACTTAGTCTGTTTGGGTAAACTGCGTTTTGACAGCTTCGTTTTGACAGTAAACTGCGTTTTGACAGCTTATGCGTTTTAAAAATACTGAAAACTGTGTTTTCACGCCGCACCTACTAGGTGTCATTGGAGCTTTCTGAATTTGGTTTGGTTTTTCAAAAAAAGTAAAAATTTGTAATAGTCACCGCACCTAGCTTATAACAGATTATTTTTAATCAGCTTATCAGTAGATCATTCAATAAGTTACAGCTATCCCAAACAGACCCTTACTCATTCACAAACACACACACACACACACACACACACACACCCACACACACACACACACACAAAAACTTAACAATGTTCACTAAACTATGAACAAAATCAAATTTCTCTATAGTTATCTATTCAGTAATTAGTAGCTTCCAATTAAGATAAGTGTTCGACCCATAAATGATGAATCATTTCTATATTTTTGGGTTATTATCATCCTTCCAAAATCTTTCATTGTGTGTGTCAATCTTCGGACAATTTGAGCTTCAACAAGAAACTTTTATAAAGTTTGAAATATATTGAATTGTAGATGAACAATCTACATGCAGTGTGATAATTGTACAAAAAATTCCATTTATAATAAAGATACTAACAAACAACATTTACACATAAGAGATCCTAATTTCCCTCATTAGCTAATTCATTAGTTATTTTTTTCATGTATCTCCATCATTTTTGTGTCATCTTCTCTAACCCATGTCTATTAGCCTGCTATATCATCTTCATGAGAGACCCCAATTTCTATTTTGATAGTCACACGTCTTAAGAGGAATGTGTGATTCTTATGTATTGAAAATATTAAGTTAGGAGTTATCTTAAGAGGGATTGTATCATATATAATTATGTGATACCACAATAATAGGAAGCAACTTCACTTTCCTTTTAAAAGAATATGGAAGCATGTCACATAAAATAATCTACTTTTTTTCATAAGCCAAAGACCCTTAATCTCGTTTGATAATGAGGACTATCATTTGTTAAAAGCATTTTTTCTTCCATGCACCAACTGTTAAAATCTTTGAAAATCAAGATAACATAACTTACCTATCAAGAAACTACTTTAAACCTTTTGAATGTGTTGGATTTTTATCATTCACATTATAATATTTTTATTTATGAATAAGAATTAAATATTTGAATAGAAATTAATTGTACTAAGATTTTAATTGTTAGTATCCATTTGCAGAGGGATATATTTCATTAGGGGACAAAATGTGGACCATACAAAAAAATTTAAAATTTCTGATTTATGATCATATATGATGTCATGAATAGTTTGTCACCTCATAAGACAAAAAAAATATACTAAAATATACTCAATCATAAAATGATAGTTCACCTGCATTGGGATTTAATTTTGCTTGAAGTTTTTCTTCTGCTCTACAGACTCACTTTGCATGGGCAAACACAAGTGCATGTGTTATTCAAATAAAATAATACACTTGAGTACAAAATCATTTCCATAAGATAATTATTGAGTTTTTAAAATGAATTCAAGCTCAATAATAAAAAGCTACCTCTCATTCAAAATAAAGCTTTTTGAAAATGGGTTTTAATTTTTTCTTAAAATGGCTAAATACCTTAACATAAATTTTTATAAACTAAGAATTTAATAAGCCAAATTCATCATAAGATTTTTATTTTAAAATTAGATATCAATTAGAAAAAAAAATGTATTTAAAGCATATGTCGATGACCTAAAAACCCTAATTTTAAAAGCACTAATGTGATATGTTTATATAATTAGTGATTTCAAAAATTAAAATTTTCACATCCCTAAAAATTGTTATGGTTCAAAAGTAATAGTTTTATTCTCTTAAACCTTAGTTGTGAATCTACTAATGTAGATTAGGACTCTATCAAAAATTTTAAAATACACTAAAGTTTAAATAACAGTGAGACCACCACTCATGCTAAATAAAATTGAAAAAAACACAAATAAGCATAGGAACTAACATGCAAGAAAACCTTATTCACAAAATTTTATCTTGTAAATTATAAATCTATAGGAAAAACTTCTTAGCTTAGCATGCTTTTACTAAAAAAGGCTTTGAAAATATTTTATTTCAACTATTAAAACCAATGTTTACAAAAGGTTCACAAGGAAGAAAATAGAAAATGAAGAACCTAATTTTCCAAAGAAGAAATCGACTAAAATTGCCCTTGGCCAAGTTATTCTACTTTTTCCTACCTCTTCTCTTACGCCACTAGACTAAGAATCACCTTTCACTAACTTTATAAACTCACATGCACATACATACTTTGAATTTACTCTTCATTATGACTGCTCTCTTCTTAAACTGCCATCATGTTCATCATTTTAATCTTCTTCACCAGTCCAACTTTGCTTTTTGGTTTGGAATTCAAATTTATGAAGAAATAATTATTCTCGGGGGATTCATTGTGTTGTGATGTTATTGCTGTAGTGCTACAATGCCCAATATCTAGTGATGTGTGCCAAGCTCTCTATCATTTGATTATTTATTATGTGTCGAACACACAACAATGTTCTACATAATGGCTCAGAGGCACAACACTTTAGCATTGTAGTGCTTGGTGTTTGATGTTGAGGTTTTGTGCTCTCTATCTTCAGGCTCCTTATTCTATCTTCAATAACATTATAACACTCAAAGTAGCATTGCAGTGTTGCATTGTGGTGCTACGACAATGGGTACTTGGCATTGTGTTTCCAACATATCGAGACAATGTTACAAGAAGAATTGAACATGGATCCTACGCGTTGAGCGTGGCATCACAGTGCTCGAATAATTTTATAAAAATTTTTCTAAAATCTTTTATAAGAGTTTTCCTGTAAAAAATATACAAATTTATGTAGTATATATAAACAAATATGTAATGAAGACAAGTAGTTAGACATATTTTTTGGGGCTTTCTCACTCAACGTAAACCCAAAACTCAAACATTACTTATCCTCAAATAATTGCATATATCAAAGATAGTGACTAAATAAGATTAACTTAGGTATACTAAGATTTTGAATATTATATGGGTATATTTTTAAGGTCAACAAAACCTTTTAAAGTTATGTGAATTTAAATTGATAATCAATAACCAAACCTTTCCCTAATATTAATAGTTTATTTAACTTAAAATTATAAAATACATTATGGATATTGATCAATCTCCATTTAATTAAAAAGTTCTATGAAGTTTTATAATTGATCATCTAAATAATCTCAATTTAGACTTTTTAATTCTAATTATAACACTTGATAACTTCAATTGATAAACTTAATAACTTATTTAGATGAAAAATAAGAACATATGCCAATTTTGTTTGAACTTAATCTCAAGCATCTACTTATTTGTTATTTTCATTATAATTTTTAGAATTTCAATGTTTTTAAGAACTATTTTCAATTTTTTTTTTACTTTCTCTTTTTATTTTTCTTAAGTAAAGCTATTTGATCGAGTTAGCTAACACTCTTAAAAACCTTTATTGGTGTGCTTTTTTGCACCTTATTGATGCCAGCACACTAGGGTTCCATTCATTACCTTATGGAAAAAATGGGAAAAATTTATCCAATTGAGTCTGACGCCATAAAGCTGTTCCATAGCGCTGCAACGCATAGATTTTTGCCAGCACTGCAACATTGTTTGATGCACCATGACGCCATACATTATAATTGTGCACACATGAGCGCACTTCAAAATATTATTAAGAAACTTATCATATGGCGCATTGTTGAGTCCCACTTTCATTGCATTACATAGTATAGTGAATGGTGGGCCTCATTGTCAGGTACAATTATGTGAAGTTTGTGTTTTAATCAAATCTTGACCTTGTGTCACAACACTATACCTTGACACCGTGATGCTCAATAAATTCAATTAAAATCGATCGTTATAAATAGATGAGATAGTTATGACATTGTAAAGCTTTGGATCCCATATTGCATCGCGGTGAGCGTCTTTGGCGCTGCGGTGCCAATTTCTTTATAAATAGGGTCGTGGTCCCAAGCTTATTCCAAATTCCCTTTTCTGCTTCCCTAAACCCTTCCGGTCATTAGTTTTTTGGTAGAAAAAAATGACACCAAAAGCATC